AGATATGATTATATTATGTCGTATTATTGTTAAATTATGATATTTCTTGATAAATTAACCTAGTTTGTGGATTAGATCATGAATTGACCCAAATTTCATAACCCTACGTTATGAACTCATGTTGAATTGATTAGTATTGATGCAATTGAGTTAGTTCTTTGGTTAATTATTAATGAGTAATTTTATTGAACTTATTTATGGATGAAATATGATTGGTTGAGCGTAAGACCAATTATGATGTCTTGTTGAAGGAGAATTGGTAAGATTTTGTGTTATTAAACATTACTTTGATTGTTATGGCTTTTACTTGGTGATGAAGTTCAAATTGAAGCATTCCTTGTGATTATATTAATTAAGTGTTGGTATAATGATGTTATTGAAATGTCTTGATTATGTGAACGTGTGAGATTATGTTTATGATGAAATGATATGAGGTTGGTTATGAATTGATATGTACATTATTATGACATGATAATGATAGTATGTTGCTCTCACATATAAGGCTTGTATTGGAAGGACTTTCTCATGCAATTCCTAATGCGCTAATGATATGAACATACAAGGTGTTATTCTTCTATTGTCTATACTAACATATGATGATTAATAAAGTATTAAATAAATTTCAAAAAGAGACTCTAGGTCAGCACCGAATGCACTAGTAGTTAAGAGTGTCCCTTCTCAATGTGGAAAAGAAGGTCATTATGTTACTCATGAGATTGGAGACTACAACGAAATAAAGTAAACACTAACTAGGGTGACCTAAGGGGTGTGCCTTAGTTTAGGTACGGGTATGGGACTCTACCTATACAATGCAATTGTTGGCGTTGAGGGAAACCTTGGAAAGTTGTTGTAACATTTCAAAAGTCTAAGATGTGTTCTAGATTCTAATATAAGTAACATTTCGAAAGCCTTGGAAGTTTGCTTCCATGAGTATAGAAATAAGTTCTCCTTCACGATCCTACTCACCTTTCATCTACAACTTTAGAGATAACAAAATGTATGGAATTAGTACAGATAATTGTACTAAGTAAAACATTATGCATAATATGAAAACAAACATTTATTAAAAATAAACATCATTTCATTTAAAACATCATATTGTAATCATAAGAATAACATTTATGAACTTACGAACATATAAGACACTATTTAGAAAATTTATAGCATTTTTCAAGCAACATTACAGTGACTTCAACTCACTGTACTGTGCATTCCTTCACTGTTAGAGTGAAGTTGCTTACCTTAACCTAAGACACCTTCTAATATGTAATAATCCCACTAAAATATATCCTAAGACTCTCTTAAGCAACACAACAAGATACCGCCTGTACACCCTCTTTAAGCATGCCTAAATGATCCTTAAGACCACATATAATGAGATCAACACACACTTACAAGACATCATACATATGAACATCAAATCCTTCTACCAAAGGTGATTCTAAGTCTCACTTGAGTTACTTGTAAAACGACCTCCCATAGAATCCCTTATACATACACATAAGAGATCCTATAGACTACCAAAGATAATATAATTCTCACTTATTACATCAACAAATATATAATATGACGTTCTCCCTCAAAAGGCTATCAAAAAACATACTCAAGTAAATCAAAAAGATAATTTCCATGATTTACCTCTTCAAGAAAACCTAAATAGTTCTTAAGACTACCTACGACTTAGATCATGCCTACATAATAACCATCTTCCCTAACTAGAGTCATTCTTAAGACTTATCTAGGTAAGATATATAGTTACCATTCATTTGACCCATTCACACCTTAACTAGACAACCCTAAAATACTATAGGTAAGTACTTATACACTTAACATGTCGTCTTAACTTAAGTCATTACATTTATTAGTTCATTTAAGACTAGTTGACCACATAAGAACATTCAAATAATGCTCTTGGACAAGACCTAGGGACTCTCACTAACACTTTCAAAACTTATTGTGCAATGTCAAAATAGTGTTCAATACCACCACCTTAACTTAATAGAACATCTCTAATGCTATTAGGTATCCCATATGATGAGAATAGGCATTAACCGACATAGACCATAATAGCTAGAGATGGAATCCTGCGTTCTAACCTAGTCCGATGAGGGTGTTCGACATGACAATGGTAGAACTTGGAAACATCCCATATAGACACTTGGTTAAGAAATATGAAGGCTGAACTTTGTACTCTTGTCTCATCCTTTAAGTAGAGCTACTTCCTTTACCCTACTCACTCTGTTCTAGCCTTTGTTCTCAAAGAGTAATTTAAATTAAAATTTCATAATAAAGGGGTTCCACATCAATTTCATAACCCAATCACATTTACCCTGCCACAAAGGTTCACTAGGTCTACCTTACAATGGTGACAAGAATCTCATAATGACTTTCCTAACGATTGATATGATGTCTTTCCAGCCAACCAACCTTAATTTTAACATTCCTTTACTTGAAGCATACAATTGCGACTTTCGACTTCAATATTAATAACCTTACCACTAGGTTCAAGGTTTCACATAAAACCCTCTTAACATTCTTCAAGGTCACATGTCATTCATACATACAAGACTAAGAGGCTTTAGCATCCTCAGTAAAGGCATCTCATATTAACATTCATACATGCATCAAGTAAGGGATACCAGTCAACTAAGACAACACACAACATACTTCACTTTAAGTCATATTGTTCACTACTATAACATATTCAATTTAACAATCACAAGACTGCATAACCAATTAGGAAGAATCATGTATCAACTCTAAGACTAGCCATACAAGAACATAGCCATTAAACAACATGATCACCTAAATAGCATCAATAATAGAAAACATATACTTTCACTTTACTTATCATGTAGATAGATATTATCCAACTTAACATAATCTTCATAATACTTCAAGTAGTTGCCGACAAGTCCATGATAGTCATATTCCATTAAGTAACGCCAACAAATTCATGTAAATTGCATGTAAAACAAATAATACATCCACCATAAATGGACCATACCAATGAAAACATAATTGAAGTATAATTAATATAAAATAAATGGAATTACGGTAGCGTACCACCACTCCATCCTCAACACTTCAATCCAATGCTAAACCATCCAATTCAATACCATAATACCCTTACCCATGACCATGAACATCAATTCAATATAAAAACTATCATACTCAATGAAACTAGATCAATTCAATACAATTATTACATCAATCAATAGACCATAGAAAACTACACTAGAATTATTAAGCATTAAGTCCAAATTACTTAACCCACAAAGTAGTCAAAAATTAGGGTTCATCATTTACATGGTTCATAGGTTCATTGACTTAAAATCATCTAATTAACAACAATTCAATCGATATTCAATGCTTAAAAGTCTTTAATGCACGAACCCATGCATAGATCATGAAATTGGAGCATTCATCTTTGAAAACATTAAAACACATCTTTGAAAGTTGTGCTCCTTGATGAATAGTGTTTCAAGGATAAAAAATCATACCTAAATGAGCTAATTCTTGAATTTGATGAATAATATCCACTAAATTCTCTAATCAAAGCCCTTCCATGAGTTTAGGCTCCAATAGAGTTCTAGAGTATTTCTAAGGGATTTTGGGTTTTGATTTTGAAGAATGAAATCTTCTAACCCAACCGTAAGTAACTACCCATTCTATTTCTTGGACGTGGGAAGATCTTACAACTTAACCCCTCCAAATTAACAGTGACTACGCTGGAGACAACCTTCACATACGGAGCACCATCGACGGCCCGTCATTTAACCAACGGATCATCCTGCTGGTCCGTGGTTGGGGACTGAGTCTTGTCTTTCGAACCTTCTTCCTCACGCCTAAGTATTCAATAATGACTCCCCACCTCGAGGGCGTCGAGTGACCTATTGGGCGTCGATTGCCTTAGTGCGTTGGGCTGTCTTGGGCAGTCTTGCTCATAAACATGGGTCATTTCTTAAGGAATGTTGGATTGTCCTTAGGGAAATTTCAAACCCAAACATACTCATATACAAGTTTAGGACCTTTTAAAAGAATTTCATCCGCAATGAACACGTAAAAATCTACGAACCACACATCGACACACATGGTAATTTTAATGCAAACCTTTCGAACATCATGGACATTCTTGGAAGTTTGACCTTCAAACTTCATGAAACTCAACACACAGCCTATATACACTATATTAACTCATTTAAGGACCTTATAACCTCATTAATAACACATAAAACAACATATGCGGTACATAGATTACTTAGTCGTCCCTTGACGTTTCACTTAAATCAACTAAAAATATAGACATTGCCTCAATACCACATTATAGAAGATTTTCGGACCATATACACTCATGAAAAACATGTAAGGCACTAGTTGACCTAACTAATTTTATGGGATCTTACATTTTCTCTTACTCGGACAACATTCGTCCTCGTTAACATTTGCCACCCTACTAACACTTCCAAGAATAAAAATTCAATTATCATCTCATGAAAATACAGTATAACACATTATACAAAACAAACATATAAGAAAACATCAATTTTCCATTATCTAGAGACTCACAACAGAAGAAAAAACTAGAATAAATTTTATAACTAATCATGCAATAGAACTCACATGCTTCATTCCAAATAGCAAAAACACATTTTATATTCAATACCATGCTCATATACATAATTTATAACAACATGTGGAACAATTTTAGAACAAATAATTAATTAGTCATTTTCCAAAAAATTTACAGTTAGGAGCATACATTATAGTAAATTTTACAATTTTTCAAAAAATGAAACTTTTAGGAAATTCATGATGGAACTTACTATTATGCAATATAGCACCAAATAAGCACCTATTAAAACATTATCATAACTTCATAAACTTCACAATAAAAGGAATCGATGAAATTCAATTTCAACAAGACCCCTAAACACAATGCAACATACTTCTATGACGTGTCACTCTAAAGCTTGAGTTGAATATAAAGGATAAAAAAATCAATAAAACACACCATACTCTTCCACATAGAAATAACTCATACCACTAAAGATATACAAGGACTTACCATCATCCTCCTCCTCATCCGGCTTTGCTCCTTTAGGCCAAAGTGCATAGAAACGCCTCTTATTTGAAGCATCATCCTTTTGAACAATAGGAGAAACTTGTTTACCCTCTCTTCCCCTAGAGCCAATGGTAGGAAAATCTCTCAACAGATTTCCTTCCTTACCACAACTAAAGAAACTACCGGTACACCTTAGGTATTCCCCATAGTGCCTCTTTCCACAACTGACACACGTAGGTTTGCCATTTTGAGAACCACCTTCTTCCTCAAATTTCACCTTATAACTCCTAGGTTCCACTTGACCTTGAGAAATCTTCTTGAACCTAGATTGACCTTGAAAACTTGAACCACTTCTTTTCAAGTTCCTAGTGATCCTTCCTAGTTTAGAATCTTCAATTAATTGTGTATACACCATGAGTCTATCTAGGCTCATATCATCATGTAACATGGTCATACGATATTCCTCCCTTACTAGATCAGCGAGCCTGGTCACAAATCTACTCATCTCATCCCTCATATTAGACACAAGGGATGGGGGATATCTATATAACATTGAGAACTTCAAAGAGTATTCCTCAATGCTTATATTGCCTTGCTTGAGATTGATAAACTCTTGTACCTTAACTTCCCTCCTCTCACGGGGAAAGTACTATATAAGAAAAGATTCCTTAATTTTTTTCCCACTCAATAGGACCAGACTTTACCGGCCTATTATCCTTCTATTGAGTGTAACACAGTTGAAAAACATCCCTCAATTCATACGAAGCTAACTTGGCATTCTCCCTAGATGTAACCCCCATAAAACTCAACATCTTGTACACACCATCTAGAAACTCTTTGGGACCCTTTACCACCATTGAGCAAATAAAGATAGGAGGATTCATCCTCAGAAAGTCTCTCTACCTAGAGGTCATAGTGTTTTCCACAACATTCATCCTAGGCACCATTCTCAAAATCTTTTAAGTAGTCACAGCTTGGACTAAAGCAAGAAACGCCTCTCTAATTTCATTATTACTCAACTTCGGGGGAACAACCAGGACATCATTGCCTCCTTCCACGATAAGGACTTGATCATCTTGATCACCATGAGGAGCTTTCTCAACTTGCTTAACTTGAGGAGGAATCTCCTCATGCACATCATTCTCCTTAACTCTCCTAGCCGGTGTCCTCCTCATATTCATCTTCATAGAAACACAAGGAAAAACCATAAGAAAGACTACTCATAACTTTTACTCTACGCCACGAAATAGTAGTAGAAAATAAAGGAAACTCTATCGTCCTATAGCCATTCGCCCATAGATGTGTCGCGACTAACACCGATGGTCAAGACTCTACTAGACGTGACTTTATGAGACTTTTTTGTTCCTAAGAATACTTTCATAACCTATGCTCTAATGCCGAGCTTGTCACATCCCGAAACACACCTATAAGATCCTTCATTAGAAATCATTGGAATTACTTAGTCTGAATCACATCAAATCTTAGACATGAGAATACTTTGGTACACGGCCCATACTTCAAAAATATAGAAATACTTAGTCTATAACAATACTTCAAAAGAAACAAAGACATCTATATATGCCCTCGAGTCAATTGAGGACATACTTCAACTTTGCTTGAATAACTCTACAATCCAATATCTCCTTTACTATCCTGTCACCTTTCACCTACACCTTTAGAGATAACAAAATGTGTTTAATTAGTACAAACAATTGTATTAAGTATGACACTATGCATAAAATTAAGAAAATGGATATTTATTAGAAATATAAATATTTTAATATAAAACGACATATTATAATCATAAGAATAAAATTATCAACTTAGAAACACATAATATAACATTTATTCAATTTATTGCATTGTTTGAAGAAACAGTACAATGATTTCAACTCACTGTACATTGAATTCCTTTACTGTAAACTCACTGTACAGTGAATCCCTTCACTGTTATAGTGAAGTTGCTTACCTTCACCTAAGACAGCTTCTAACATGTAATTATCCCACTAAAAGCTATCCTAAGACTCACTTAATCAATACATAGAGAAACCACCTGTCACAACTGGAATCTAGACCCTAGGTGAGACCGGCGTCGTTAACCACTTAGAGGTCGTAGACAAACCTCTTCTTAGTTTTCATCACAATCATAATTAAGTTTGAAGAAAATTTAATACTTATTGAGGTTTACTTATACTTCATATAATTTTTGCATAACACTGAAATACTAATAGTTTAAATTAAACAACGATCTATATTAGATTAAACAATTGAAATGAAAGAATCCATAATATAATAATAATTTTCCAAAATGCCTTAATAGAAAAGCTTAGAACAACTATTTGAATGGAAACGCAGAGGAAAAGATCCACTAGCTATGTCTAATGTACTAAAGCTATAATAATAAACGAAGGATCCTTGAACTAAAAAGCACCTACCAAAGGTCTAGATAAACTAGTCCGAATCACTTCAACGTATCTTTATTCTTCTTCAAGAACCTGCACCTATAAAAAATAGTAATAGTATAGGGGTTAGTACACACTTGTACTAAGAATGGGTGTATGCATATAAACAAATAAGGACTATGCATGATCAAGGAAAGCTCTTCCAATAGCAATATGCTATTTTTGGAAAGCAAAGTCATTTTACTTTCCTAATTCATTATTTATGCATCATGGTATGAATATGACATATTTTAATGCATTTAAAGCACACAACTGATTTTATATATGAACACATGACCTTGGAATCGTGAACATAATTTTAGAACAACTCGAACAAAAATTATTATTTTTTCTCCTCTTAGGCCATGAGCTATACTCCCATACCTTGGTTTATTTTTCAGTCTTTTCTTCTTTTTGTTGTTTAGTTCAATTATATCCTTTGATCTTATGTTTTACTTATGAGTTCAACGATTCATTGTAGTCCCATTCCTACAATGATTCAAGTAAGTAATCCAAAGGACTAAGGAAATGTTTTTACTCCCTTACTCACAAGATATTCTTTCCATTCTTGTTAAATTTGGACATGAAGTCTTTATAAGCTAATCTTTATTGGTTTGGCCAATGAATTGATCATTTGCATTATGTGAAGATACTGAGCACATATCTTTATTGGCACAAGCCAATAACTTGTTAAAACTTCATTCTTATCAACCAATGATGATTTGTTATACTTTAAGCTCATGCTTTATTAGTTCACTTTGAACTTACATTTCTTCTATTTTCTTTCTTACTTTCTTAAAGAAATTTTTAGCATTAAGATCATGTGAGCTAAAATGAAATCCAATGCCTCTCCCATCACGAAAAAGGGGTGTTTCACTGATCAACTTGAACCTAGATCATGTGAGTTAACATGAAATCAAGTGTTTGCCCCACACTTAAAAGGGGTGGTTTGCCGGCTAAAGTGAAACCAAGTCTAATGTCTTTCCCCTACCGAAAAGAGATGGTTCACGGATAAATTAAAACCAAATAATTTCTTTGAGAATTAACCGACATAGATCATGTGAGCTAAATATGAAATCCAATGTTTTCTTCACACTGAAAAGGGGTGGTTCACCTGCTAAAGTGAAACCAAATACCACCTATATTTTAGGTGGAACTCACTAGCTAGTTCCTATGTTTGAAACATAGTTAAAATACTATGAGATTTCAGAGACTACATATCCACCTTTGTGGTAGCCTTATCTGATGAGGCTTATATGTGCTTGTACAAGCTCATTGGTAGTCTCTCGATGCTTTTTCAATTTCTTATACTTTTAGTTATTAAAGTTGACTCTTACATTATGGAAGCTTACTTCTAAAATGAGGTACTCTTACCTCAATAGATGACTTTTCATCCCTTTATTTACTTGATAAATGTGAACTTAAACCTTACATTAGCATCATGGTGTTATTGAAACTTGTCTCACGATTTCTAACACCCTCTTATGTGAGTATCTTTAACATATCTTAATGGATGACTTGTCACCCCATTCTTTACTTGATGAATGTGAACTTAAGTCTTACATTATCATTATGGTGTGAGTGATACTTGTATCACGAGTTCTAACACCCTCTTATGTGAGTATTTTTAGCATAATTGTTTAGGTTCAAGTGAGAGGTGTCTCACCTCTTTAAAACCCCATTCTTGTCAATATCAAAACTCATAAGCTTTGTGTCATGCCATTACTCACCTTATCTAGATCAATGTTATTTGGTAGCCTTATACCATTCTTTATGAAAGTTATAAACTTATTCAATGTACTACGATATTCATAGTTCATTTGAGTAGGGTATGTTCGGACTTGGCCCAATGATTGGCGTACCCTTGGTTATGATTTAGTTGAGTAACATTGGTCATTCTTAAGTTGGTATAACTTAGTCATTAGCCAATTTTTATATCATATTTTGGAAATAACATTGTAAGCAAATTTGATGGCACAAATTAAACTACGATTTTATCACTAGCCAAGTCAATTATTTGATGAATACATTTTAGTAATATCATCATGTTAAAGCAGCCAACTTTTAATCATAAGAAAAATTCAGTGCTTAATTTGGCAAAACTATATAGTTAATTTGGTATTGAAGATGCATTAGTTAGCTTTGATTCACATCTTGTTTCCTCTTGGAAACATTGCATTCCAAACAGTTACAAACATATAACTGTAAACACAAAGTGTAATTCGAAAATTTCATTCTTTTCCACAATAAACACAATTTAGTAAACAAGTTATAATAATTTCATTTTCTCGAACACATTAGGCATTAATCATATGGATCTGGCCTATAGGTCTTATCAGACATCATTACATTATAGGAACCTACACATAATGATAAGTTAACACCACATACCAACAACTTGCCCAAGATTTTTCATTATACATACTACGAAAATAAAAAATAAGGAGAACTAGGGAGTTGATCATTCGAAACTTTCATTGGGAACAACCTTAGTTTCAGTTTTTTTGAATTTAAAACTTTTGAAAAGCCTCTTGGGGAAAGGAGCCCAAGATAGAAAGCCCCTACCTTACTATAGAATTGAATCTACAAAGACCACCTGGAACTTTTCACGAAAACCTTAAAGGTTCACCTTGAAATCGCATAAGGAGAATTTTCAATTTTTCTTACGTTTGCTTACTATTTTGAGTCGTGAGTTTCTAGTGGTTTATCTTGATTCTAAGTCCTAGGAACTGATATTTACTAATTCAATTTAGTCTAATTAACTTAATTAAATAAATAAATTAGCTATTTACAAAACCGCCCTCCTAAATTTACTAAAAATAGGAGAACATTTGACTTAGCCAAATCTTTAAATTTTCTGAGGGTTTCGTCTAAGAACATAATTTTTTAATAAATTAATTAAGTTTCTAACTTAATTAATTAAGTGCTCAGGGTAATTAATAAAGTACCTTTAAGTAATAAGGACCATGATTAACCCCTTCGGACAATCCTAGGTTAGGTACTAGGATGTTTCTTGAGTTAGTTACTAGGCTAGTGTCACCCAGTTAGGTCTTAGGTTGTCTCGTGCACTAGTTTG